GGTAGGAGGACCGGTGGCCTGATGTTCAAGGACACTAAAGCAAATCTTACACAATCTTTTCAGACATAAATTACACCCCTTTTGTCATATTGACGAGAAAAACTGGTTTGATTTTTTTTGATTTTTGGTCCAATTTCGAGATAATAATAGTAAGTGCAGGCTTACAATAGCCTATTTCTGCCTTATTTAAGCCGTGAAAATTTTGTTTTTCTTGAGTAAAGTTATTGTTTGGAATTTTTAGAGCTATTTTAGAAACATAAGCTTCAAGAAATTTCTGAAAATAAAAATTATTAGGTTTGTTTTGGTCGTTTTTCTACTCGTTTTTCAAGAAACACTGTTTTCACTTGGCCTATTTCACTATGACTGTTGAATCTGCCTTAGTTTTATTTTTCATTCAAATATTTTTATCAGATCACGCAGAAACAAAACGAACCTACTTTGAAAAACGTTTGCTGTATTTTTATCTGGTTGGAACATTCTGTGCTGCTTGCACAGCAACTTGCTATCCTTGTTTTCATTTTTTTGTGTTGAATTTATTTCTGTTTTTGTTAGTGGACTAGTTTTTAACTTTGTTTTTGCTAAGACAACTGCCGTTAAATAAAACTCTCACAAGAAATTTAAGAAGCTTTGAAATTAACTTCTCAAACAACACACAAAAAAGCTATTCTAACTGAAAACCCATTTAAAAAAAGTATTTTAAAAATCAACTTTAACCGGTGCTGCTTTGCAAATTTGATTTTAAAATGTTCTATAATAGAAAAAATTCGATTTTCAAAGTTTTTCATAATTGCGATTCGGTTTTTATCTTGAAAATTATAACCACATAAAATTTTCAATTTAAAGCATCTCTCAGGAATGATCTTTTTTCGTTATATGGCCCATTTTTTAAGCAAATCATCCATTGCGAACCAATTGTCAATGAGAATTTTCCATTCTGCTTGGAATGTTAAAATTTTAATCCGCATTGCAATCTGAAAATCATGTGAAATTTTTTGTGACATATCCGCGTGCCGTCAATATTTGTATTGAGAGGCGTCGTCTTAGCCGCTTGACCATTGAAGCGATGTTTGCTCAAGGATATTTTAGGGCATAATAATAGCAACTGCTTATCGTTATCATCGGTTTTTGGACACAACTCAGCGTTTCTTTGATGCACGATGCAAGTAAACACTTCATTTAAAAACAAGTATTTTTTCGACGGGTAATTAGGTCTAACTTTTTCTGAAACAATGATCATACGTGAGCACGCTTTTTGCTCAATATTTTAAACGTTTCAAAAGAGTGCATTTTCACATTAATTTTGGATTAAAATATGTCTCATTTCACGGATTTGTTTTTATTGTACAGAAAATACAAAAAGTCTAAAAATCTGCGTGTGTTGATAAAAATCGGGTTGTCAAAATTTTTTTTTTATTCAGAATGGTTCGCTTAGAACATCGGAAGCAGCAATTTTTCAACCTGACCTGATAATTTTAACTTGCCCCGACAGTAACACTATGCTTACTTTACAATATAATTATGCAAATCAACAGCCCAGGAAGTAAAATCATTCCATGCCGACTTCTAAATTAAAAAAGAAACAAATGTAACTGAGCTATATTAGGTATTAAAATAGACATGATTGAAAACCACCAATAGTTATCTATGTGGTATTTTTTTCGGCTTTATTGACTTTTTGTTCGTCCTCAAGTTTTGAGACATTTTATTTCATTGATTGGTTCGTTATCTAGCTATCGGACACTCTGACGAGTAGTTTTCGTTTACATATCCCAATATTCACTATTTCGATTGGTTTTTAATGACCGTTTTTTGCAATATTTCAGCGTGTTTTTTTTGGCGAGGACTTACTTTTTTGACCATCAGATCTGTAGAATTGGCGATTCTACTCTTTTATATGCTACAGTAACCTGAGCGTAAGATTGATTAGTCATTAAATTAGGTATTACAGCAAACGAAAGTTTGGAAGAATTCGTCACTACTATGCCAAAAAATAGAAAAACAACAAAATCGGCGAACACTTCCACCCCCAAATGGGAACTTAGTAAGCTATCTCCATGAAACTCAGAGGGGCGGTACTAGAGATTATTTGACTCGAGCATACGAAAAAGGTGGCAAGTGATAACGATCTCCGGATTTGTAAACGGCCCTATCAGAACTCGGCAACTGGCGGCAGTATTTAGCTCACAATTTAAAATGTTGTAGGCCCAGTTGAGGGAAGTTAAGTTTTGAAGCCCAGAATCCCAGGACCCCGTTTTCCTGTTTTATGCCCTAAATAAACAGACCCAACCCTAACCCGCGGAAATCGTTTCTCGGCACCCAACGAACGCAAGGAGCTGAAACTTGGAGGGATGGTAGGTAGTGGCAAGATATATCTTGTGTTATATTTTGAATCATTACCAACGGGAGGACCGGAAAATTCCTCCTTACACGAAAAATAGGCAATTTATACAAAATAATGAGCAAGAAAATATAAATTTTAATGCGGCAATAGACATAAGATACGAATCACGGAAAAATATCCCTGGTGAGTAAAATGCATCCGGCGACTTCTTCAGGTGATAACAGCCAATTACAGTGAAAAGTTTATGGACCTTAGAAATGGGATAACTTGTGAAGTATTAATTGGAACTGGATGGAACTGGGTATTCAGGATCCCCATGGGGTTCTAAACCCAAATATAGAAGTTTGACCCCTGGGTGACCTTTTGTTGATTTTTGGGCGTTTTGAACCCAAAGTGGCATTGGAAACCCCGGGATTAACACCGGAAAGTGACGTACTCTCCAGCCCAACCCCTGGAAAAAGGAACCTTTTTATTAATTGGGAGGAAACTTGTAAATTAGGAATTAAAGCAGAAGCTGATAGCGAAATAGCTTTTACATTGCAGCCTTGGAAAAGAAGAGTTAATTCAAATTGGACTTGATAAACACTGGGTTCAACTTAGCTTGGCGAATGATTTAATAATTGCAATTGAACTAGACTACAGAAAAGTAGTCCCAGAGGAAAATGGCAGTAGTAGCACCGCGGCATGAGAATTAAGTCTCCTAAAAAGTTTGAACGGACGGGGAAATTCCTTGGCTCCTCGGAGGTGACTTTTTGGCTGAATTTGACCCCCTAGTAGACGAACTACTTTCCCCTGATATTTAGAAGGTCGGGACTGGAATGGAGTATAGATGGAAAATTTAGATGCTTGGAATAATTTTGCTATCTATAGAAAGTGTCTCCCCTTACCCTCGTGAGGTCGGAACTTTAACGGGAAAATTAAATAAAGACCTGCAGAGGATCACTGTGTAAACATAACATGCCTTGAAGCCTGAGTTGAACTCGAGTCCTGAAGTTCATGGAGGTCAAAATTTAATTGATTAGGAACGTATAAAATTTAATTGCTCGGTCGAATTGTGGCTCTTACTACATACCGGGTATCTGATAAGCGTGAAAGTATTGATAAAAGAAGCCGGAATTGGCGCATGGCTAGGTTGACAGGGGGATGGAAGTAATCCTAAAACTTGTGCGAATGAAAGAATTAAGTGGATGCCAAGGCTGATAGGGAAGGATGTGACCTAATTACAACTAAATAAAGATAAGGAACTGGAGGGTAATGGAGAGACTTCGAAATAGAACACCTACGCTAAGAGATCGAAATGTTGATTCTCAGGTAAAGAGAAGAACAAATTGAGCAAGCCGAGAAGACTAATTGTCCGTGGATGACACTACAACTTGAAGCAAGGCTAGTTGTGTCTCGCCGTTGTTAGGTAACTACTTTAGCTGATTTGAACCCGAGTTTACTACTGGGTTGAGGTAATTTTGTGAGCTAGTTGCAGTGCTGGAGGAAGCGAGTTTGGAAATGGGTCAAGCAAGGGTTGACGATATAGTTAACGAAGCTATTGAACGGAGCGAAACGCTGGGTTTACTATAGAAGTTGTTAAATAATAGTTAGATCATTAAAGGCATTGTAAATTGCCTTCATTGGCTTTGTGATTGAAAAATTGATTGTTGTTCCCACGATTCGCTGAACTAGCTAGAAACGCAAGGGGAGAGACGAAAAAAGCATAAATCAAGGGGGGAAGTTGCGTAATTCTTTGATCGGCCGGTTTAGTCTGATCACCAACATAACCTTACCGGGATTGTCGATAATATCGTGTCTTAGTGTCCCCCGCTATTACACGGTATAAAGGGGAGAAACTCTGCGGCCCTTAAGTTGAGTGAAAGCGTGCTTAAACGAAACGAGTCCCCGATATAAATAAACAAGATCAAAGCCTTTCATGAAGCAGTTTTTTGTCATGATGAATCTGCAGGAAATGTTTTGTTTTCAACGGAATCTATCCAACTTTTGTAGATGACGTAATCTATAAAACTTTTCTCACGGAGCAAACTTTTTCACCCAAACTTATTTGACGATTCAAACAATCGATATTGCTCTCATAATCTGCTGATAATTTTTCTGCTGTTACTGACAGAGGCGGATTTTTTCGAGGGGTGCAGATTTTCAAAAAAGAATTCAACTTTTTTTTATATCGACCAAATTGATTTTCCGAGCTTCCAATTTTTTCATCTTTTTACCAACTTTTTTAGGTCGACCAAATCAATTTTCTGAGCTCTCTAACAGCTCTTAAAAGACCCTGTTGTGGCCAAAATTTTGAAAAAACGGGCCAAAAAAGACGTTTTTGAGCTCTTCTTGGAAATTTTTTTAAAAAAACTGCGTTTTTTCGGCGCGCGCTCTCCCCTCAAAATCAGTATATTGTGGCGCCGAAGGCGCTTTTGGAATAATTTTAGGGTCAGTCAAAAATGGATATCTCAAGACATCTCAAAATGGATATCTCAAAACAGTACAAAGGGGGACTCTTTGGGTCGACAGGGGATCAAATACCTGAGGGGAAAAGTGTTGAGAAAATGAGGGGAAAAGTGATGAGAAAATGAGATATACTTTATCGAACAACCGAAACTCCTGTTTTGGAACGTTGTGAACTTTTGGTTTCGCTTAACTTATCTGCAGGAAAAACTCATCAGTTAATCATTCTCAATTGGTACAATATTACAGCTTAGTGGTTCTTTACTCTGGTATTAAAGATCACAGGTTGTATAGACAAATAACTAATTTCACGTTTTCTTAATTTTTTGAAGTGTATCTTGGGTTGCTAAGATACGGTACGGACTTCAAAGGGTTCTCAGACGTCGGTGGGTGATAGTGATGACGTCATGACTTTTGTCATACTTCGTTTACTGTCTGGCACTTTTGATGGTGGGTTTGTTGCGTCTCTCGTTGGCCTTATGCATCCCGTAGGTGGGGAAATCGTGTCCACATACTGATAGACTCCTACTCATGTTTCCGTAAGTCTTTCCAAAAGCGTATGGTCCATCTGAACAAATTACATGTGGATGTCATGAGTGGTCATCATGGTTTCTTTTTCAAACATTTCTTTTTCTTGCTTGTCACTTTTAATTTTTCACAGTTCACAGAAACTGACTCTTCAGTCGAGCATTTAGTTACACTTGTATGTTACTTATAATTCTGTTCACGGTGTTTGTTATATAACTTTGAACGGTGGGTGCAAGGAGGGTGTGGGGTGTGATGGTGAGTAATAGGGCGTGTGTCTACTCTTACGTGGCAGGTATCCGGTGTACTTGGGGAGCATGCCAGTCTGGTGGTAGAGTCTCCTGTCCATGTCCTCTCCTGTCACCCCCATCCTCAAAACTTCATTCTCCCCAGGCAACAGACTCTTCCTATATAAACAGCACACTCAAACATGAAGTTAGTTTAGATATCTTTAAAATTACCCCCTTCCCTCATTATAAAAGCCGGTAAACAGATTGATGGCAATCACTAGTCGTTACATAACTCGAACACGCTTATAGGATGACGATGAATTACTCTTTATCAGCTGAGGATATTCTTCTTTTGGATATCATAAGCCGAAAATTTACAGAGATTCTTTGAAATCGTAGCAAGGTTCGCATTGAGTGGGTGCGCATTCTCCCCTTCCTCAGAGATTGGGCTTATCAGAAGCACCAGACCAGTAAAAAGCTGTTCTGTCAAAACCTCGTTTTTGACTTTTCGTTTTTCGCCTGTTTTTTTGTCCAAAACATTACGAGCGGCACAAATAGTTATGTCAAAAAATATGTCAGAAACTACTATCCATAACGGTTAATATCAAGTAACAAAGTCCTTGAAAAAAGTCGGAAATCGTAATACTTTCCTTGCCGTTTTGCCGGCCAAAAATGATTATCACTATAGAAAATCCCCGATTAAGTTGTTCAGAAAAAAAGAGTGAAAAAAAGTTCCTGTGATTAAAAACAGGTTATCAACGCACTTGTCGATCGGCAGCCCGAGTGTGGACGCATGACTCATCGAGTTCTTGAAGAAGTCTCTGAATCCCTTCTCACTAGTCACGTGGTACCTGCCACCCAAGCCAGTCTCGGTCACATGTGTGCGGGGCACGAAGCCAGTGTAGCCCGGGATTGGTGCCTCAGTTCCAGTCCGTTTGTCCTCTGCAACAAAAAAAACCAAAATTCACTTTTAAAAAACATGTTTTGAGACGAGGAAGTTCGGAGGCACTAAAATGGAGGATGATTAATTCACATTTACTGAATGTTCATGTTAGAGTAGTTCTTTGGAAAAAAAGGACTCCTAGACCACAGAAATTTTAGTTTAAAAACTTTTGATCTATTTTTTTCCATTTTTAGGAAATGGGAGATGCTTCATTAGCTAATGATTCGCAAAAATAGCGTTGAAAAGCAGTAAAAAAAATTAAGATATGAAGTTCTTTCACCTCCGCATAAATTAGTCCGAATAACCGACAAAACGACAAATGTTTTCAATTTTTTTTACTCGGAATCCCAACCAATAGGAATTTATTATGATAGTACAATTGACACCTACAAAATTTTTTTGAAGCACCTTTTATTCGAAACAGAAGCCAGTGCTAAAATATTTGATTGCAATTAGTTTTCGCCCCAAACTTGTCTCTTCATTAGACGCTTTGAGCAAAAATATCCTCGGGATATGTATGACATTTGGGATTTGCATGTTTTGGGTTAAATTTGGATAAATTTGGCAACTGACCTGCAATGGCCGGTGCGCCCTCTTTGTGGTCTTTGAGGTGGTTCAGTTTCTTCACCACCAGTTCCGGCCGGGTGATTGGGTGCAGTTTGGGGTAGGACTTCACCACCGCCTCCAGTCTCTCCTTTTCTGCTGTCTTCTCCCCTTTCGTCCCCAGGAACTCCTCCACGCAGTCGTCGCACTCGCTCCTGTAGGTGCCGCCGAAGATGAATGGCCGACGAGGCACGTAGCCTAAAATGTAGGTGACGTTCAAAATAATTGAAACATTATGTTTTTTTGTTTTAAGAAACAAGCAACCCATATCAACTGCAAGCATAAGCTAATTTGCAAAAAGAAAGAAAACGAAACTGATAATTTCACAAATATGATTTGAAAATCAGATTGTAAAAAATACGAAAACGTACAAATTGTTACTAGGCTCAGTATTTATGTACGTTTAAACGTTGAATCATTACTTATATTTATCAGGGGCGGATCTAGGATTTTCTCGAAGGGGGGGGGGGCGGATTTTCAAAAAATTTTCGACCTTTTTTTTAGGTGGTCGACCAAAAAATTTTTTCGAGCTCTCCCAAAATTTTAAAAAGACCCTGTTTTGGCCAAAGATTCTGCGCCGCAGACAAAATTTTAAAAGAACAGGCCAAAAAAAAAGCTTTTTTTAAGCTTTTTTAGAAAATAGTTGACCAAAAAATCTCGTATTTTTGGCGCGCGCCCTCCCCCCTGAAAATTAGTATATATTGGCGCCAAAGGCGCCTTAAGAGAAACTTTGGGATCCGTCCGCCAAAAATGGATATCCCAAAATAGTTCAAAGGGGGACCCTTTGGGTCAGCAGGGGGTCGAATCCCTGAGGGGGTGATATTTATAGAAGAAATTCAGGCACCATTCGTGATTATTCGTTACCAAGGTACCTTTGTAAAATAAAGGGATTATCGAGGAGATCCATTAGATCTTGTATACGGACCTTATTTTATGCGTCGACCTTATTTTATGTCTAGGAGCCTTAGCCGAAAGTTCACTGCAAACAACAAAGTGTTCTAAATCTACCTGTGTATCCTGGCTTCATGTCTTCTGTTAATTTGTTCACTCCATCCGCGGGGGGTAGAGTGACACTCCTCTGCAGTCTGGTGATGCCACCCACCGGAGGTAGCAGAGATCCCGTGTGCTTCAGGCCATCCTTCGCCAGGTCATCCAACCGGATCTGGAGAATCGAAAAATAACTTTGATATTTCTTTACATATAATAAACTTAACGAGTAAAAATGATTTGAATTCGGTAATTTCAGAGTGTGAAAAAATCATGTTTTGATGCTTGCCCTCAGTAATTTATAATTGGCACTGGCTATGTTGGCAAAAAAGTTTTTTGTCGATGAATAAAATGAATCACGTGACGTCTCACCTTGTACATTTCGTGTGTTCCCTGTCCATAAGTGTAGCCTTCGTGAAACTTGTATTTTGGAATGTAACCACGGTAACTGAAACAGTTTGTAAGATGTAAAACACTTTTAGTCGGTGGGTTAAAACTAGTTTAAAAGTGTGATATGTCGGAGATGATATGACTCACCCGGGCACCATGGACCCCTCCTTGAGGTCGGCGAAGTGGGATCTGTCATTGACTGTGAGGACATGTTTCGGATTAGTAGACAGTAGGTCCAAAGTACTCGTCATCTTTTATACTGTTGATAGTTCAATTTAACTGCGAGCCCTAATATTCTTCTTCTTCTGGTGATGTCGTGTATTGTTCTACTCTTAGTGTAACTAAAAGAAATGAATGTTTTTTGTATTGGTCGAGAGAGATATTTTTTTGGCAAATCCAAACTCGAAATGCCTAATTATTTTTAGCTTATAAATGAATGATAAATTTGTTTTCAACCTTTGCGCGCCAAAATCTACCATAGTATCATAGTAGTCCTTATAAGTGATAGACCAACATTTAGAAGAGTTAACTTTCCAAAAAGAGCGCAAATGAGACTTGTTTTGATATTAAAATTACAAAAACTAGATTAACGAACATATATCGGAAATAAATCTTGGTGAAAAATTTTAGAGAATATACTTTCGACGAACTGGTTTTGGTTGCTTAAGAAGCTCATTTTAATATAGTTTCACTTTGGAGCAGAGACAATTCAGTCGCAGAAATTCAGCTGATTTCAAATACAGACAATTCAGCCAAAAAAACTCAGATAATTCGGCCAATTTAGATTAAAGAGACTAGATAAAAGGAAAAACAAGAATGCTCGTATATCAGGGCAAAGCCCTGAATGTTCCGACTGTCCTTAATTCATATCGAATAGTTTTTGGCAAAAGAAAATGTTGAAAACCTATACATTTTGGACAGTATCAAAGTGTACAATTTTGAGTCGTACGAAATTAATACGACCAATTAGCTAGCCTGAATTCAATTGGGAACAACTTTGTTGTGCGGGATAATTCGCCACGCATAACTAATTCGCGTTACGCTCTTAGCATTACAAATAGACTCTTCAAAGCGTGCATAATTTTGTCCAGAATATTGCAAAATTGGTAATTTTCAATCCCCCAGAACTTTCCAAAAAATGATCGGAGGTGACATATCTTTTTTATTTGAATTAGGAAGTCAATATCTTCAATGGGATATAAAAAATTTTGTTCAAAAATGTTATTTGGATCGGTGAAAATTGACTGAATAAAAAACCACACCGAGCATAAAAGTTCCGTTTTCTTCGAAAGTTGGACAATTAAAACTTTTCTAATTTGATTATAATCAGAAGTTGGGCTCTTTTTCCTCCCCCCCCCCACCTCACACGAGCTTCAATATATTAATGTAACGAGTGGTTTTACGAGGTTGAATATGAAGACCAAATATGTTTGTCGTGGCCTTATTAGTCCGTATGCAAGTTTTCATAACAATCGGACAATGTGGTCAATAAATTTACATGTAAAAATTTGCAGGTGGGGGGAAAAGGAAAAAGAGCCAGAAGTTGTCCAACACTTAACAAAGAAACGTGAAACATCAAATAACAAATTTCAAAGATCAAAACAAACTTGCTATGCGTAATGTTTTAGGATATATGTACATTAAACGTACAAAATTTTAAATATTCTGTATATGGTCTCGATTGATGTTTTTTGCGTTTTGAACGAATTTTTCGTTGACGATTGAATATATGGGTTTCAGTTTTGATTAATATCACCGAACACGAGTCTCTCTACATTTTTTTGGCTTTTTTTTGCTCATCTTTGAAACGTGTGATCAAATGGGGGTTGGAAAATGACGAAATGGAATGTGAAATGATTAGGCCCTGATAAACATATTTGGCCTTCATGCCTAATTTTGTGAACCTACTCGTTACACCTTAGAATGGATCCTCATGTGAGGTGGTCGAAACAGAAAAAGAAAGATCCCATTCACTTAGTGCTATTCCCCATTTGCGATCTTTAACAATTCACACCAGCATTTGAATTTCAGTTTGAAAAATAAACTTTACATTGTCTATTTTTTAAATGCGACGGGTAAGTGGAATATTTGAAATGCAACGGGTAAGTGGAATAGAGCCCCCATTCGTAGTATTAATATTGAAGCCGATACAAAAAACTTTAAATTTATTTTTTTGATTCTTTCACTATCATGTTGCCATTTACAGTTATTTTACATCATAATGTTCCAATTTTTGGCTCGTTATAAAATTTGATTTTTTTCACACCCTCCCCAATATTCAAGATTTCAATTTGGCCCCCACCCCACCTTTCAAGCATCTATTGTTGTTATTGTTTTACAAGTTTTTGTGGCTAATGCGTGATGTTACGATGTAAACTATGAAGAACAAATCTGTTATATCAGTTGGTTTGTTCATCATGCCAAGTTAAGTTACCTAAGACAACGTTGAAGTAGTTTTAAAAAATTGAAAAGTGGGGGAGTGGAAAAGAGCGACCTATTCTTATAGTTGTTTTACATGTCACCATGGGTAAATGCGTGATGTAAGAATGTAAGGTATGAAGAACAAATCTGGGATGTCCCCCACCCCCAGAGCATGAATTTTTTGGTGTAAACGAGGTTTTTGCAAGGTCAAGTATGCAGACCAATTATTTTATTAAGGCCTAATTAGTCAGCAACCCATTTTTCGGAAACAATCCTTCAATGCAAGTCAAAAAATTATTTATAAAAATTGCAGGTGGGAGGGGAGGAAGGAAAAATAACCCAAATCTGTTCACAACTGTTAGTTTGTTCATGCCAAGTTTCATTGCAAAATGACGACGGTAAAAAAAATTTTTAAAATTGAAATCGAAAGATGGGGTAAATGGAAAAGAGCCAAAGTTTAATGTGCATAGTAACTACCTAATTTCAAAACACAAGTCATCCTCATTTTTATAACCGCGTAAAATCAAAAGCTCGCGCTGAAAGTCCATTTAGGTGGCGGGAAACAATAAAATAACCCGTTTTCTTAATGCAAAATCAATTTTGTACTTACATTTTTTGTTAAAGGAAATGGAGACGCCTGGTATTATTTGCTGTGGTTTCAAAGCATCCAAAAATTGCAACGTTTTTGCTGTTTTTGATCGTTTCCTTTGATTGATGGCCGCGCTGTTACACTTAAACGCTGAATTCTTGGTTTTTAAAAAAGCTCCAAAACAGCTGTAAATCACCTTTAAATTAAGAAACCGGTAGTCAAAAAACCTACAATATCGGTTTCTTTCTGTAGCAAAAACAAGGGATCTTGTTAACTATCCCCCCTATGGTACCTTGTAACTAATATCCCCCCTATTAAGAAAGAGTTTAGCAGTTAAACATATACGAGTTTTGTACCTTGTTAACTATTTCAACCCACTATTACAATATATGGGGGGGGGGGGGGAATAGTTAACAAGATCCAAAACAAAAATAAAGAAATTAACTTGGAGAAGCGCAGTTTTCAAGAAGATATATGTTTAATTGAATATTTTTATCGCACTTTTTTCCTGCTTTCAAAGAAAAAAACTTACTTCAGAAAACGACAGGTAGCTTCTGTTCTCTTTTGGCTAAAATTTGCTCTCTTGGTGAGGGATAAATGTTCTCCGTTGTTTTCTGTCTGTAGATGATACCAGAATAATTAAGTGGTGTAGTTTAATGCTTGTTTTCTGCTTCGTGATTCCAATCAATTACTCCACACCAGGTGCACGTGCATAAATTATAGATATTATATGCGATGGTGAGATTTACTTCTGGCTAGAGCTGCCACAATAAAATCATAACTAACCGGCTTATGATTTATTAAGTAAAGTCAGTTGAACATATTTGAAAAAAAACAATGCAAACAAACGTAAACGTACCATTGAAAGTATGAAGCCAGGAGTCTTTCATTAAAAAAAACTCGATGTTCAAAATTTTTTATTGTGGTGTTATGAAAGTATTTGAAAAATACAATTGAGATGAATCAAGTTTGCTGTAAAATCGGCAATCGATATATGTGAAAGTACTCAGGTAGAATAATTAAAAAACACGTAAAAAGAAGTATTGTCTGGTGAATGTCAAATCAGAAGACCTCTTCATTAGACCTCTTTGTGATGTTTAAAAGGTTCGGCTCATTCTTTTGGTCAAACATTCGAAGTCTCCACGCTAAGAAAAATTGCTTACTTATTTTCTATCTACATCGTTTTGGTTTGTAGATCTTAAATTTGTTTGAATGTTATGAAATCATGTTTTGAATAGATTAATTCAATTCATTAATTTCTGGCGTATTTTAAAAACTTTACAAATTACAATCTAATTTTGTTAATTAGCAATCCAGAATTTCGACATGTTGATTAAATACACATTTTGGTAACTTCTGAACAAAAAAGGCTTGATGTCCATTTTTGGGCCCCCTTCTTAATTTATTGTACTTAAGTTACACTGTTAATTGTACTTGTTTATCCCCAATGAAAACTCGAATTTCGCGGGTTACATGTGAACTTTTGTGAACCCAGCTGAGCCCTTTGAACCCTCTGAAGATTCTTTAATTGACATGACATCGTTGGACGAAGAAACAATTGGCGGTTTGAACCGACATTTCTCGGACGGACTTAATGACGTCATTAACGATGAGAGATCTGGTCTCATGAGTCATCACTCTGAAAACAGTAGTGAAGACCAACATGCTCACTCAAAGTCGCATGTTTACTCCTTGTTTGACCTGGGAGGTGAGTTATATCCCATAAGCTCTTCAGTACATTAGCAGAAAATTTCGAGTGGCTCTTTTTGAGTGGCTCTTTTTGAGTGTCAGGGAAACTAATAATTAAATACAAGCGAAAAAAAACTACTATTTGGGGCGAGAATGGTTTTTGGCTTTTGCTAATTGCACCCAATTTTTTCAAAACTGTCCAAAAAAATGAACCCAAAAAAAACTGGTTCATATGGGACTCAAACTGCCACCTCTGGTAAATTGGTCAATTTCTTTTCCATTCCACTGCCAGTTTCTGGAATAGACTAACTGAATGGTAAGAACGAACTGAAAAAAAAAGTGAAATTGTTTTCAGATAAAGTCATTACAAAGATCAATGATGAAATGTACACGAAAGTGTGATAAATTAAGTTTCATGATATCACACTGAGCACATTGAGCAGCCTCGAATTTCATTGTTTTCGATTCAACTTATGAAATAAGTAATACTATTGAAAACGGCATGCACTTATCATTTTTAAGCTTGGAGATATGAATGTTTTATTTTGAATTAAACGGAACGTATATTAAGTATTTATCTGAAAACAAGACAAATTTTTTCTTTTAGATACAGATTCGAATCTGCCCACTCAGTATGGGAGATACACTTAACCAGTGAACTATCTGTTCAAAACAATTGAAATATTTTCCCTTTCTACAATAAAAACGAGCTGAAAAATATTAAGTGTAGAGTTTTTTTGTCTCTAGTCAGTATTTGAAACCGGCCGTCGGGCGTATGGGATCACAACAAACACGCTTAGACACAAAATTAGTTGTTTCGTTTTCCCTTCAATTTCAAGCATTAATTCGTTCACCCTTCAATTCACTGCTTTTCTCATGGAAAAAAAAAACTGGAGTTTCTCCTAGGGTATCTCATAGAAATTAGTATTTTAGTTTTGTCTTTTCCCTATCCTAGAAAAAAGTTTTAATTACACATACGAGCTGACCCAACTTTCAAAGATGAAGTGCTTCTTTGGTTACCCTTAGCTTCATAACATTAGCATTTTAATAGCATCTGTTTTATTGTTCCGACTTTTTTAACGAAAGTAAGGAAAATTTGTGCTCGGGGTGATTTTTTTTCTTCAGACAAATTTCGACTTTCTAACCGGCCATTTTGACGGAATTTTCGTTTAATCATTCAAAAGGTATTGTTGTACTGAGCCTAAATTTTAAAAGATATTTTCTTTGATCATTTTTTTAAATTATGGGGGTTTAAATATTGATCGAATGAATCGTATGTGCCATAATTGATGTGTTACTAGGAGCGAAATCTATTAGTTTGTATTTAATATGGCGTGTGAGGGATGGTTTTCACAAAAATCTCAAATTTTTTTTTTTTATTGAATTTAATTTTTTCACGTTCTTACTGCTTCATAGACCTGAAAAGCAGTCGAAACTTGCAGGACTAAAATTTTTGATTTTAATGCTGTCGTTTTGAAGCATTTTTGGTTTGATTTGTGTCGCAGATCAAGTGACAATTTTGTATCATTTTGATGCTGCATAACTTTAAATCACAAGTTTATATCTTCAGCAGTCTGTTCAAATAAAAAAGTATTTTGCGTAAGTACTGAAATCGAGCTTTTCGGATCTCAAAATATCATATCTCATTTTTGTGGACTTGGATGCGCACTGAAAAAGAAAATCATTTTACTCATTTCAAATTCAAACTAAATATTTTTGATCATACAAGTTTTACAAAAACTGCTTAGTAAAATGAAAAAAGATCCTTGTTTCATTCTTTGAAATTATAAGGCTTAAATCATTTAAAAGCGGAGTTTTTTCTTTCAGGTCGTGGGCTCTTGGCGGATAAAATGGAAGAAGCGCTCGTGAAATTCAACGAGGAAATCATTGACTCTGCAATCAAGGAACATGTCACACCATATCTGTACAACAACGGAAAGGGAAAATGGATTCCCAAAAAGTTTGTATTCAGATTATTCGGTTTACCTGGGTTTTTTATTTGTCCTAATCAAACGCCATTTTTTTCATTCCCGCTTATTGCAAGGCTTTTTCCTGTTTTATTTTTTTTCTATAAAGATTTTATAAGGTTTTTTTTCAGTTTTAACTTGAAGAATTTTGGTCTTATGTTTTTTTCAACGTTGGGTCGCAGCGGAACTCGACTCTCGAAAACAATACTTCTGGTTCCTGCAACCGCAGAGCCATCTGTATGATCAACAGGCTTGTCAATGAATAGTTTTTTAAAAGTATTTTTCCAAATTCCAGACTGAGTTATTTTGCTGATTCCTAAAACGGTCTGATTTGACCGTTGAGCTTTTATATGCAGTAACAAAATTGTTCACAGCAAAATTACAAAATTGTTCAACACAAAATCTACAGCATCGAGGATACTATACGAACATTAATGCCCATCAATTATAGTTCCCTAATTTGCTTAGTCACTTGGTGTCACAGCGTATCACTGAGATAGGCGGGGAGCATGCAGTGATAGTAGCCAATCTGCAGCACCGCAAGATAGGCCAGCTGGTGGAGCCAGACCAGCCCAGACAGAAGTTCTCCTCCTCCCCCTCTGTCCGGCCGGAGTTTCGGGAGAGAGAACAGGAAGAAAGTGTGTATTACCAACTCTACCAGCAGAATCAAGGTGGGGCTGATTTTTGAGCTATAAATTTTCAGTCAACTAGCCCGGAAGATTTAGGGGGCTAGCCCGGGCCTAACCCTGAGGTTAATTATTTAAGGCTGAACTAAAGCTCATTAATCATGACGAGCTTATTACGCTGTGGGTATCTTGCAAGCGCCCACCTTGCAAACTGCAGCGCATGCGCGATTTAAGCCTGACGTCATCTGTTTTCAGGGCACCACAATATGAATTCTGGGCCAATTATGGTTTTTGGATCAATTACCCTGATCAACTTCTCCTCTCTGTACATTAGACTGAGAAAAAGGTTCCATCCTACAATAATAATATAAATAGGCGTATCTAACGCGTTCGGTTCCCTTTCACTAATACTTTTTTGAATAATTTTTGAAGCGAACCGGTTTTGATCATTCATCACTCAGGCTACCATATTGTTACAGTATTGTGTTTTATCTAACTTTAGAAAAATATTTAAGTGCTGCGCTCATATTAAAAAAAGATTTTTTTCTTTGACTTTCTTTTGCAAAGTTAAGGTGGTTTGAAAATTGCAATTTTTAACAGGCTAGGAAAACTAAAAGACGCTGTTAACTAGTTATCTATAGACAGGTAGCTTGAGTTTCTCTCAAATCTATAGGTAGCTATAGACGGTTCAAGTTTCTCTCAAATCCCGGGTCGAGGATGTTGTTTTGCGATCTGACCGCCTCGACCAAAATTTGGTATTTCCTGACTTTGCGGACCAAGGCAAAATATCCGCGACCGTTGCGACCAAAGGAAAATTAACCGCGACCGGCGCGACCAAAGAAAAGTTAAATGCGACCGGGATGACCGAACAAAACTAACAGCGATAGGCGCGACGAAGAAAAATTAACGGCAATCGGGACGACCGAATGAAAGCTAACAGCGACAGGGGCGTTAAAGAAAAATTGACCGCGACCGGCACGACCACAGAAAAATTAACAGCAATCGGCGCGACCTGGTCGAGTTTGAGATTGATGTTTCGACCGACTCGACCAAAAAATGGTATGTTTTGACCCAGGCTAGATATGTTTCGACTATATTCGACCAAGGACGAACATTTCGACCAAGATTGACCGAGTGAAAACATTTCGACCGAGTTGAACCGATGAAAAACGTATGTATGTATGTATGTATGTATGTATGTAAATTTGTGTGTATGCATTGTATGTAAGGTTTCGTAAGTTCATAAAAAATTCAACGAAAAACGAAGTGTCCTATGTATCCAAAATTCGATGTGAGCATGTTTGTAAGTACTTAGGTACGTAATTAGGTATTTTAGTTTATAGGTATATTTGTATGTATGCATGTTTTTTTTATATATGTACGAATTTAAATTTTCATGTTTTCTTGTTTATATCGATGTTTGTATGTTTGTATTTATGTATGAAGGATTGTATCTAACTATGTAAGTACGTACGTATGTAGGTGTGCATGTTTTCAAACATGTATGTATGTATGTATGTATGTATGTATGTATGTATGTATGTATGTATGTATCTATGTATGTATGTATGTATGTATGTATGTATGTATGTATGTATGTATGTATGTATGTATGTATGTATGTGTGTGTATGTACGTATGTATCTATGTATGTGTGTACCTTTGTATCCAAGTATTTATGTATGTATCAATATATATATGTTTGGACGTAGGTATGTATGTTTGTGTGTATGCATTGTATGTATGTATGTATGTATGTATGTATGTATGTATGTATGTATGTATGTATGTATGTATGTATGTATGTATGTATGTATGTATGTATGTATGTATGTATGTATGTATAAATGTGTGAAGGAATGTATGTATGTATGCATGTATATATGTGAGTATGTATGTATGTATGTATGTGTTTACACTGTTTCACCCTTATGTTTCGACCAACTAGACTTCAAGTATCACCGAGACTAAAATTTGGACCACCGCGACTAATTTTCGACCATGCGACGACTAATTTTTCGACCACAGCGTCCAATTTTTTGACCGACAAATGGTTCGACGGCCGCGACTAATTTTGCGACCACACCACGACTTATTTTTTGTATTTGGCTACTTAACAGCTTGATTTAAGTAAAAATAAAACTCCAAAAATAAAAAAATATGATGGCTAACATGGTAGAATTCGACGCAGTGGACCCGAGTTTGACTCCTCGAAAGTCCTAAGGCGACTAATTTTTGAATGATGTGGTCTGATTAAGGCAAAAATTTCCGGGCAAAAAAGATTTTTTTTTGTTTTTGCTTAATATAGCTTGTGGGATGGTTTAAAAATCTGAAAGTTTCAAATGGTTTTCATTTGCCGGTTAGATAGTTCAAATTTCTCTCAAGTTGCGGGTCGAGGTTTTTGTTTTGTGATCTGACCGCCTCGACCAAAATTTGGTATGTCCAGAGATTGCGGACCAAGGCAATGTATCCGCGACCGTTGCGACCAAACGAAAATTAATCGCGGCCGGCGCGACCAAAGAAAAGTTAAATGCGACCGGGATGACCGAACAAAACTAACAGCGATAGGCGCGACGAAGAAAAATTAACGGCAATCGGGACGACCGAATGAAAGCTAACCGCGACAGGGGCGTTAAAGAAAAATTGACCGCGACCGGCACGACCACAGAAAAATTAACAGCAATCGGCGCGACCTGGTCGAGTTTGAGATTGATGTTTCGACCGACTCGACCAAAAAATGGTTTGTTTCGACCCAGGCTAGATATGTTTCGACTATATTCGACCAAGGACGAACATTTCGACCAAGATTGACCGAGTGAAAACATTTCGACCGAGTTGAACCGATGAAAAACGTATGTATGTATGTATGTATGTATGTATGTATGTATGTAAATTTGTGTGTATGCATTGTATGTATGTATGTTTGTGTGTTTGTGTGTTTACACTGTTTCACCCTTATGTTTCGACCAACTAGACTTCAAGTATCGACATTGTGTGTGACTTTAACTTTCGAATTTCTGTTCGACTTTAAGTTTCGACCTGGTGTTTGATGACTTCATGACTTACTGTTTCGACCGACTTGTTATTGTGTTTTGACATTGAGTTCGACAATGGGGACTTCTCGACTATGGTATTGGTCGAACTCTGATATGTGTTTCACCTGCTTCGGTCAAAAAACAAATTGTTACCGACGCATTTTTTTTGTCAACCATGCAGCGACTAATTTTTCTGCCGCCGCGAAAAATATTTCGACCATGCCGTGACTAATGTTTTGACTGCCGCAAAAAAAATTACCATGCCGCGACTAATTTTTAGACCACCGCATTCAATTGTTTGACCATGTCGCGACTTATTTGTTTACCATTCCGCGACTGTTTTTTTTGACCACCGTGACCAATTTTTTGACCATGCAGCAACTAATTTTTCGGCCACCGCGACCAATATTTGGACCACCGCGACTAATTTTCGACCATGCCACGACTATTTTTTTGACCACAGCGTCCATTTTTTTGACTGACTAATGTTTCGACCACCGCGACTAATTTTTAGACCGCCGCGACTAATTTTTAGACAGCCGCGACTAGTTTTTTGACCACCGCGTTCAATTGTTTGACCATGCCGCGACTTATTTGTTTACCATTCCGCGACTGTTTTTTTGACCACCGTGACCAATTTTTTGACATTGCAGCAACTAATTTTTCGGCCACCGCGACCAATATTTGGACCGCCGCGACTAATTTTCGACCATGCCACGACTATTTTTTTGACCACAGCGTCCATTTTTTTGACCGACTAATGTTTTGACCGCCGCGACTAATTTTTCGACCACACCACGACCTATTTTTTGTATGTGGCTACTTTACAGCTTGAACTAAGTAAAAATGAAACTCCACGTTAGCAGAGTGAAAAAAATATAATGGCTATCATGGTAGGATTCGACGCAGTGGACCCGAGCTTGACTCCTCGAAAGTCCTAAGGCGACTAATTTTTCGACCATGCCGCGACTAATTTGTTGACCATCGCGAGCGAGATACTCTGTTTCAAGAATCAGTCCGCGGCTTTTTTTTCAAACATTGCGACCAAAACACGGGTTTTCCTGAAATTGACTGCGACCTAAATCCCTGTCCAGATTATGGATTTTCGGCCGCGAAATTAACATATCGGCGACCAATAAAGTCGAAAAATTTCATAAAGTCGAAAAACCCAGAATTTCATTTATTTCATGAATTTTAAGACAATTTGCTTACAGGGAAAGGTCCAATACATGAGCTGTTCAGGTCTTCAAGGAGAACCGCTGTTGTTCCCCTGCTTAACAAAAACATGCAGTGTTTCTGGTTATTTCTCTGGGCTGGGTAATGTTGCCTCACCTTTAAGCAACGAGCACGGATATTTGTGGGTCTCAAATCTTCACCCTCTCGATTGCGAGGCGGAGACGTAACCACTTCACCACCGCTCCCCAATCACAAAGCAGTTTCATTTCTCTGTTTTAAAATATCATGGAAAAGGCTGTTTTTTGTTTTCGGTTTTAGCTCAGAAATTTGATAAATTCTGTCGCTGAATTAGGTATCAGAAGCCCTTTAAATTAAAAAAATTTGCTGAACATACAGTTTCTTAGCAGAAACTTTTGTATGAAAATAGCATGAATAGCGTTTTTCCATTATTTGAATTGCTTGATGGGCTTTTTTTTTCATTTAATAGAATTGTAAGACTAGCTTTTTTCATGAATGTAATTGTATGAGTATCAATTTTTTCTGTACATGAAACATATATTCTTTTTGTGTTTCGCTTGATATTTTTGTGTTTTGTTCTGAGACACAACAGCTAAAAATTTTCTCGCATAAAAATCAATGATTAATCGGCATATTGAGATTTGCCAAGTAACTAAGCTATTAGTTTTTACTCAGTAGTCTAACGAAAAATCAATTGTTTGAATAGGGCTATAGAACCTTTAATTCAAAAACGTCAATGGCTGAAAATTGTGACTTGTATTTTGGACAGAATGAAATTTAGATTAAAATGAAGTTTTTGCGAGCATTTTTCTGGAAATTATTTGTTTGATTCAGCTAGAACTTAAATGAGTACTAAAAAATTTGTTCCCTGAATTTGGGATGTTTTTTGCGGAACAAATGCGCATCATACAGTTTTTTTCATATATGAAAATTTAATGCTTAGTATTTTTTCTATTACGAAAAGCATTTTTTTTGACGGTTGAAGGGCTGTCATTCAGCAAAAAGCAGCAATAAACTGATTCGATTTTTTAATAACAAAGTTTAAAGATTTTTTCTAAGTTTTGTAGCGCTGAAAAAATACTGTTCGTGCAATTTGTATTAATGAAAAATGCATGAAAAGCTTTTTGTGTAAAAATACGAAATTTTGAAAAGCATTTCTAAGGATGCGAAATTTTGAAAAGCATTTTTTTTCTAAAAATATGAAATTTTGAAAGGTCTGTTATCTTTATTTCAAAGTTTCTTGAATAAGTTTATTGCCGCTTTATGCTGTATGATGTCCCATCAATCGTCAAAAAAATTGCTTTTTGTATAGAAAAAAAACGCGCTTAGCATTTTTTTTTCATTTTCTCAATTAATGGAGTTGTATGATTAAAACACTCTGCTGCTATTTTGGCTGCGTCGATGTAATCTGGTCATTATTTCAGACCCATCCGGAGACCGGTTCTGTTGCTGGGACATCTGGCGCCGTGGCTCAATGGGGGAGACTCTGCTGCACGTATGTCTGCTCTGCGGCTCAAAAATAGGCATCAATTAAACTTGAGTCCAATGATAAGAATTTCATAACTATGTTTGCGACAATTGCACTTGATTTCATTACATCTAGACTTTTCAAAAGTTTGGCATCGAACTATCGCGAATTCAGCTCTTGATGTCAAAAATTGTTGTTTTTTTTCAGAAATTCAGATCAAAAAAAGTATATCATTTTTTGGGATAGAAACAAATTTTGAAAATAGTGTCCATTCAACATGCTCCACTCTTAATCTTTTGAATCACCTCTTCTTAAATTTATAAAGATAAAGTTTAATTGGTGGTCTAACAGCAAGGGAAGTGGCCTTGAGACTTCTAAAACTATTTCCGACACTAGTGGTGGATATCTATCTGGGTCATGACTACTATGGACAGACTCCATTACACATGGCACTGGTCAATGAAGACCTCGCACTGCTCAAGATGATGCTCGACATAAGTAAGACAACTATTGCTAAATAGACGTCAAAAATTTAGGAAAATAAAAAGACTTTAATACTGTAAGTTTCCCAAGGTGCAGTAAATTCTTGACAGAGTAGTGTTTTTTGGATCTCGGAAAAGCCAATGGGCTGTCCCAGGGGCGGATTTAGGATTTTTTCGAAGAGGGGCGGATTTGCAGATGTTCGTGCAATTTGTATTAATGAAAAATGCATGAAAAGCTTTTTGTGTAAAGGGGCGGATTTGCGGATGTTCGTGCAATTTGTATTAATGAAAAAAAAATTAAAAATTTTGTCGACTTTTTTTTTAGGTCGGTCGATTAAATTGATTTTCTGAGCTCTTCCAAATCACTATAAAGGCCCCCATTTTGACCAAATCTTCTGCGCCGCTAGCCATTTTTTGAAAAAACAGGCCAGAAAAGCGTTTTTAGACACTTTTAGCTCCCCCCTCAAAATTAACGTATATTGGAGCCAAAGGAGCCTTTAGAAAAAATTTAGGGTTAGTCAGCCAAAAATGGATATCTCCAAATAGTACAAAGCGGGACCCTTTGGGTCGGTAGGGGGTCGAATCCCTGAGGAAGGGGGGCGTCCGCGCCTCGCCCCCCTCCCTGAATCCGCTGGTGGGCTGTCTTAAAAAACTTCTTCACATTTTCGGAAAACATTGAAACCCAGCCCCTGGCAAAAATACTGGATCAATCCCTAATTGAAATAATCTTTTTTTATTCTAATTTATAAAAATATGATGCAGGAGACAGTTCTACAAACGAGAGGCTCGCCGATCTGTCTGCTAGATGCAATGGCAGTTTCTTCATGCCCATAGACCTCAAGCAAGAGATCAACCTCAACCCGAAAATGGGGGAGACGCCCATACTCAAGTCATACAGTGAGTTGCTACGCCCTTCTTAACAACACTATGGTCAACACGTTTATTTTGAAATATTTATTAATTGAATTTCAATTGCTCTGAGCAGGGCGGATCTAGGATTTTCTCGAGGGGGGGGGGGGGGTTTAAAAAATTCTAAATTTTGTCGACCTTTTATATAGGTCGACCAAAATGATTTACTGAACTCTCCCAAATCACTATAAAGACCCCATTTTGACCAAATTTTCTGTTGTGCCGCAAGCAAAATTTTTAAAAAAAACAAGCAAAAAAGGCGTTTTTTGGCACTTTTTGGGAGATTTGACCAAAAAATAGTTTTTTTTTCGGCATACCACCCCCCACCCCCAGAAAAAAATAGTCTACTTTGGCAACCAAGGCGCCTTTAGAAAAATTTTAGGGTCAGTCAGCCAAAAATGGATATCTCAAATAGTAAAAGGGGGACCCTTTGGGTCGGCAGGGTTATCGAATCCCTGGGGGAAAAAAGTCCGCAAATCCCCACCCCCCCCCTAAATCCGCTGGTGGCTCTGAGTGTATCTCATCTAACAATTGTGTTTTTTTCTGCAAGGAGTTCGGCATGCTTTACTCCCTGTTTTGGGCGGGTTCGTTCCTAGGTCTACTAAGTAAAGGTTCTGAATTCTCGTAATTTTTCTTGGTCTCGACAGACTCAAAGAAATATTGAATTGCAGCTTGTATTTTGAGATTTACCTTGACAAAGAGATAGAATATGTGTTGTGATTTACACCATGTTTTGCATCTGTTGCAAAACGTATTTAGTCTAATTAACTGGTCACTCCTATATGACCTTCATTGGCCATTCTCTCCGGCGGAGAGAATGATCGTTCATTGTTTTAATGTTTTAACTTACCGACTAATTCATCTTAATTCTTATTCTTTTTAATAGTTTTAACTTAGAATTAGCTACAACAAAGTAACATTTTATCATGGCGCAGTCAACTAACGAATCTAACGTGAGAGGAATACCTCCATTTTGGCAAAACCATACGGTGGACCCCCCATTCCATGGGAAGACTGGAGTGATCTGTTTCAATTAGCTATAATTGCTAAAGAGAACATTGACATAAAAAATTTACTTAATCCTTCGGAGAGACATCATCCGCAACCTCCAAATCTGGAAAACCCAACGGATGGAGAAACAGATACCCAAAGACGCTCGAGAATGGAGAGAAATAACCAGGAACAAAGACGATACGATGAAGAGGAATCAGCATCAATCAAAACTGAAACCAAGAAATTCGGCGGAATGCGATTAGAAGAAGCTGATAAAAAATTACGTTCGGTTCTATATCTCGCACTGGTAAATGAAGGGAAAAGGATCTTCGGACAAAAATTTACCAAGGTGAAAGTTTTACAAATTTCCTTTAAAGAATTCTGGGAGTCCCTAGTGATCGCTTTCGTAAGAAAGACAAACGTCACATTTGAACGACATAAATTGTTAAACAGAAAACAACGCGACAGAGAATCGCTCGAACAATTTTGGGGTGCTCTAGCTGAAATGGCAAAAAAGTGTGACATAACCGCAGGAGAAGAAGAGTGGATACGAGACATTTTCATAAATAACATGAAAAATTACGACATCCAAAGGAAACTGTTAACAGAAACCCTTCCTCCACGTGAAGCACTAAATGTAGCACTCATAGACGAAAAGGGAATTTTAAATCACCTGAAGTTGACAAACAATTTTAAATCCAACGGACCATCCGTACATAAATCAAACAATCATTTTAATGTCAAAAGAGAACCAACCCTCAATATCGAACGAAGTAACAACTGTATGAAGTGTGGCGGAACATTCTCAAAAGGACACTTAGTAGTTTGCCCAGCAAAGGACACGACCTGTACTTCCTGTAAATTCAAAGGTCATTTTACCAGACTTTGTAGATCTCGTCGTAAAATTGTAAACATTGTAAATACTCAAATTGTAGATAATACAGATTTTAATCCGTCGGATATTCCGGATGTAAATACTGACCACATGGATAGAGAATGTTGTGGCGTCATAAACGCATGGTCGGAATCTGGACAAAGTGAAAACGACGATTATTCTGTATTAAATGTAACTACGATTTTCGGCGAAGATGGAAAGGAATTGAAGAAACTATTGAATATCGGACTTGGAAAAGAAAACCAAGTAATTTTAAATATCCAAGTGGATTCGGCTAGCCCAGAGAGTTTCCTAAAGAAAATGTACTACACGAATTGAAATTACGCGATCCTTACTTAAAAATTTATCCGGTGGATAAGGCAACCAATGACTTGTACTGTGGATTCACAGATAACGCCATAAATATTTCTGGAAAAGTGAAACTTCCGATCTTTTCAAACGGCTGGTTTAACAACGACTGTCATTTCTTTTTAACTGAAGGACACGAGAGAAATATCCTAGGAAACGACAACCTACCAAAAGTGGGGATAGAAGTCTCGCAGAAACACTTTCCGCATTTCCAGACTAACAAGCAGTGTAAGTCAATAAATAACATTTTACAAACAGACAAAGATAGCAAAATTCTAAACATATCAAAAACTTTCAAAAATTTATTCCTTCGGATTGGAAAAATCAAAAACCAGATGAAAATCACTCATTTTCACGAACCCTTAAAACCAATCCAATTAAAGGAAAGACGAGTTCCCCTTCACTTACTGGACTCTGTCAAGACAGAACTCAATAGATTAAAAGCAGAGGGTCATATTAAAAAACTAGAAAATTGTGACGAAGACCGTTTTATTAGCCCAATAGTCATAACTTGCAAAAAAAGACAAATCCATCAAGTTAGCCTCAGATTCAAAGTTTATAAACAAACAAATTTACAAGAACAAATATCAGATGCCGAACATCCACGAACTAGTAGACAATGTCGCAGCACAAATTACTAATGATTCCGTTGGAGAAGTGTGGTTTACCAATTTAGACTTGAAAAACGCTTACAGTCAACTCTCACTAGATAAGTTTACTAGTAACCAATGCAACTTTAGTATCGTGGGCGGTGATATTACGTGTACCTACCAATTTTTAACTGGCTTTTACGGCCTAGGCGATATGCCTAACGAATTTCAAAGAGTAATGGATTCTACATTAGGTTCTATCCCTTTTACTAACTGTTACTTAGACGACATTTTAATTGCTTCCAAAGGAACATTTTTAGACCACAAGAATATCGTGTTAAAAATTTTATCCACTCTAGTTGAATATAACTTCGCGGTAAAATGGTCAAAATGCAAGTTCTTTCAAAAAAATAATAGAATGGTTGGGACTCAAAATCTCAAAATCAAGAATTACTCCTTTATTCGACAAATCGAAAGCTATAAAAGACCTACCTATTCCAAAGAATTTGAAAGAACTACGATCATTTTTTGGTTCTACAAACCAATACATTAAATTTGTTCCAAAATGTATTGCCCGCTTCTTAATAAGAAATCAATATTCCAAGGGAACAATGACCATACAAAAGCGTTTGAAAAAATTAAAGAAGAAATTGTAAACCTAACAGAGAATACCCATTTCGACGTAAAACGCAAAACCAGAGTAAAAACAGACGCGTCACATAATGGTCTGGGAGCTTCGCTCGAACAACTCCACGGGAACGACTGGAAAACAACTTCTTTTGCTTCGCGCTTTTTAAACCCTCACGAGTCAAAATATTCTACGAACGAGCTCGAATTGCTAGGGGTCGTATGGGCCGTTGAACATTACAAGAATTACCTTTACGGATTGGAATTTGAAGTGATCACCGACCACAAAGCTTTATTATCCGCTTTATCACCAAACCACGGAAATAAAACATATCACAGTAGACTAACAAGATGGGTAGACAGATTATTACCTTTCAATTTTTCAATCAAACATATAGCAGGAAAGGATATGGGCTTCACTGATCTTATTTCTAGAACCCCATCTGGAAAAGCCCTCCCAATATCCCACTACGATGAGGAATTTGTAGTAGCAAATATTAACAAGATTAACAAATCATTTAATCCGTCGGAGAAACTAAGAATTACCTGCTCAGCCATTGGTTCTAATCTGGAAAATTCCGATTACGCTTTATTACGTAATTACCTAATAGCAGCAGCACTAAAACTTATTAACTCGACTTTCCCAATTTGTTCATTTAATCACAAAAGAACAGAATTTTGTACCTCAAATTGCATTCCAACGATATTATTCTAAAACAAACACACTAATTATCTCTATTTCTAACTCCGCATTTCTTTATTTTTTAATTCTTAATTGTAGTCTAATTAATTCAACTGTAGATAAAAAAATTGTAGATACTGTTAATATGAATAATAAGAATATTGTAATTAATCCCACCACTTCCGGTATTTCTGTAGATTTAGATTACCCGCTTTTACCAGATCATGCTAATCTCGTTAAAAAATACCGCGAAAATCTGAAGTTGCCGGATCGTCCCTTGGATTTAAATATTTTATTTAAGCCAAGTTAGTAGCCCTCTTGACAGAAGACGATCCCATGTTGAATCCAATTGTTAAAGCACTTCAAAATAAGGTGGAGAAGATTAATGCAAATTCCCCCTATTTCAAACATTTCACCCGAGACCTACACGAATCCGACGGATTACTCTACATGGACGGTAAACTCGTTATTCCATTTACCTTAAGAAACGCGATGATGAAGACCCTCCACGAAACTCATCCAGGTCAATTCGGAATGAAGTATTTGGCCCAATACATCTGGTGGCCTCATATTAACAGGCAAATTTACTTCCACGGAATAAATTGTTCAGAGTGCACATCGGCGGGTAAGAACTTGAAAACTGTCATTCCTAATTCACAAATTAATTAGTGAACTTCCTCCATTATCGGAACCAAACGAAGAACTTAACCTAGATTTCGCTGGTCCTTTGGATTCCCATTGGGGGTCAAACAAATATATATTACTTTGCATCGACAGATTTTCGAAATTCCCGTCGGCAAAAATTACATCTTCTAACTCTACAAAAACAGTTATTGAATTTTTACAAGACTAC